GCTACTGCTGCGTGGCTGCGCTCACCCTGCGCGGAGTCGGGCCCTGCAGGAGGGAAGGACTTCAGGGACAGGTGAGGGAGCCCGCGCGAAGGGTCCTCGCAGACCGGCGCCCTGGCTCCAGGGCCAGGTGTGCGACACTGCCTTCCTCTACAGCAGGAGGCACTGGCGGAGTGTGAGCCCCCCACGCGTGAGCGGCAGGAAAACGAGCAGCTCCTGGACCCACAGCAAGGCATCCGGGCGCAGAGGAATTGGGTCTAGGAGAGGTAGCGACTGGCCTGGAGCGGGCCGAGGGGCAGGCGCAGGGACCAGTCCTTGGGGCCTGGCCCCCGAACTAGGCTGGTCCTCCTCCATGCAGGCACCGCTGGGAGGCCAACCCGTGGAGTGCGCACTCTGGACAGCATGGACGACCACAATAAAAGGACTCTTTTCCACCAGACTGCGATTCCTTGTGGGGCTGGGGGCGCTGGGGTTGGCTGGCCAGAGAACGCAGCGGTCTCACGTGTGTACAAAAGTTTAATGACACAAGGCCCGACCCTCCCTCGGTTCCGCCGGCTACTGGAAGGAGAAGCTGGTGCTGGGAAGACCCCCACACCACTGGCTGACGAACTTGAGGACGTCCTGGCACGCGGGGCTGTGGGAGGTCTGCGAGCAAGCGAGAGGGCCGGGAGGCGCCGTAAGCGCTGGGCAGGAACAAAGGCACTCACCGACTGGCTGACTGGAAGCCACGGAAGGGGGGCTCTGGCTGGCCACCCAGGAGCAGCGTCCCCACCGGCCCCGCCCCTGCCCGTAGCCCCCAGCCATCCAGCAGTTTGTCCCTCCCCACCTCAGCTGCCCTTGTCCTTGAGGGCCCGAGCTCACCTTGATGGCCATAAGGAACTTATTCCAGCTGTCCTTGCTGGCGGCCTTCCCTGGCCGCTTGAACTCAATCTTGTTCCTCAGAATGGGGTACCCTGTGGGGGGGGGACAGATGAATGGGCTTGAGGGACTGAGGAGGGAAACGGAGAGAGCCTGGGGTGGGAAGCGTACCTGCCTTCTGCAACCTCCCCAAGTCCTGCCCCCCCAGCCCAGGGAGCCGCACCTGTGATGAGGCAGGGCAGGGCCCGAACCCCAGTGCCCGCAGCCACCAGGGAGGCCTCGTAGGCGCCGCGCTCGTCACGAGGCAGCACCTGCTCCAGCCGCTGGTCCATGGAGACCGTGAGCACCCAGTCCCGCACCTCTTCTCGCTGGGCCTCCTGGAAAGGGTGGGGAGAGTAGCCGTTGAGCAGGACAGGGCAGGGTGAGCGGGTGTGCTGGGGGTGCACGCCCAGGCATGGCCACCTCTCCCTGTTCCTGCCCACTTCCCTGAAGGCACGGGGGCTGGGCCCTCCCTCTGCAAGCTGTGAGGCCTTCTCACCTCACCCCTGCCCTGCCGCCCTTACCGGCACGTGCTGCTTGGCTGGGAGTGCCACCTCAAAAGGAATGTCTGTGTCCTGAAAGTCGGAGTGGTCAAGGACGTCCAGAGTCCCCTCCTCGATGGCCTGCAGCAGAACGGGTGGCGTGAGACAGGCGCAGCTCGGGGCAGGCAGGCTCTCAGCCTGGGGGGCCTCCCTACTCACATCGGTCAGATCCAGAAAGCGGTTGAGGAAGATGAACGCCATGTTTTCCCAGCCAACAGCCTGCAGCAGGGAAGAGACGCACACGGGACTGAGCCAACTGGGCTTGCTGCGCGCTTCTCTGCATGCGGGAGAAAGCCAGCCCACGCTCGGGGACACGCTCAGTCTTTGGACCTCTGAGCTCCTCTCTCGGGCCCCACCCTTCTTTGTCCCAGCTCGCCTTGGCCGCGATGCCGGCTTCGTAGAAGGCCTTGTCTGCAGGCAGCAGCTGGGTGTGACGCAGCAGCGAGACAGAAAGCCTGGCCGCCACGGTTTCCTGTGGATGAAGTCACGGTGTTACCGAAGGTCACAGTCCTGCAGTGACTGAGCTGCAGACCCAGGAACCTGTTAGTGAGGCAGCCACAATAACGGATTATTCTGGGCAGGTACAGTGGCTCAGGCCTGTAATCCTAGCACTTTGGGAGGCCCAGGTGGGAGGACCGCTTGAGACCAGGAGTTCTGAGACCAGCCTGCAGCACAGTGAGAGACCTTGTCTCTACAAAAAATCAAACAAGTAGCTGGGTGTGGTGGTGATGCCTGTAGTCCCAGCTACTCTGGAGGCTGAGATGGGCGGGTTGCCTGAGCCCAGGAGACCCAAGGCTGCGGTGAGCCGTGATGGTGCCACTGTAACAGTGAGACCCCAGCTCAAACAAACAAAAATGTTAATAATAATAAACTGCTCTGAATCTCAAGCTGTTCTGCACAAGAGACCTGCACCTAGATTCCTTCATCTGCACAAGAGACCTGCACCTAGATTCCTTCTAAAGTTCCTTCCTCTTCTAGATGCCAAGACTGCAATAAGTCTACAGGGAGCAATCACAACAGGACCAAAGTGAGTGTACACTCTGTGAGGGGAATGAGGGGACTCTGGGCTGGATGTCAGGCATAATGAGGCGGGAGCCACAGGGCACAGAGCCTAGGCAGGTCAAGGCAGCATAGGAAGAAACCATCCAGCCCCACACCAAGACAGCAGAGAAGGGCAGATGCCAGAGCCCAAGCTCGAGATGCCAGGGCTGGAGTCGAAGCGCGCCCAGCACCTCACCAGCTGTGGGACGCTCTGGGCCGCGGAGCGTGTGGCATAGTAATGAGCAACCAGCAGCATCGTCTCGAACTCCTCATGAGCTGGAGAGTTCACCTCACTGGACTTCACCAGGTTTTCACACTAGAGAAGGGAGGCAGCACAGCCTGGCTCAGGGCTCAGAGACCCGCCAGGGACCGGGGGGTCCCGGACGGCCACCTGGACATCACGTGCTGGGGAGAGACTGGGATAGGGCTGGCACAGCGGCCGCTCATGCCCTGTTCACCCAGCTTCTCACCAGGTTGAAGAGGACATCTCGGAGATCCGCCCAGCCGTGGTAGGCCTCGGCGCTGTTGGTCCCAGGAGCGCTCACCGTGTCAGCGAAGATCCTCTTGTAGATATTGAAATTCTGGAGGGCAGGGCGAAGGGCATCCACGTGGAGGAAGCAATGAGAGGGGAAAGTCGGCAGACGTAGGGCCCAAATGGAGAGCAGCAGGCGGGCATGGGGTGTGCAGGAGTGGGGCCAGGGATGGAGAATGTGCCAAATGCTTCTAGGGAAGGAGCAGGTGCTCTGTGGTGGGCACGCATGCGGGGTGGTCCAGGTCATACAGCAATGGGCCAGCTGCAGGTCTCCCATGGGGCAGGGTCTGTGCTCTGGAGGAAGCCGCTGCAGACTGGGAGGCTGAGCCCATCCCCGTGTGCTTGCTAAGAGCAGGCTGAGGCCCCAGAGGCTGTGTGTTTCTGAAGGGCTGGATGGGACTCTGGATAGTGTGCTCCAGGACCAGGATGGGAGTCTCCAAGAAGGCGGCGCCTGGGGGAGAGGTTCCAGGAGGAAGAACAAGCTTCCCTGTGGAACGTCTCCCAAGGAGGCTGGTACCTGTGGGTTGGCGGGGGCTCCGTGCTGCACATAGAGGGCCAGGGCCTGGGCACAGCCTCCCTCCCGGATCAGGTGAGTCGCATACAGAGCCACGTACTTGTGCAGGATCTTGTAGTTCTGTCCGGGGGAGGAAAAGAGCATGGAGAAATCTGGGGCCAGCAAGCTCAAGCTCCGAGGGCGGGTGGCAACGGAGGAGACCTGGGCAGATGCCAGCTTTGGCCCTGAGCTCAGAGGGGAAGACCAGCTCCCGGGCACCCATCAGGGACTCGGGGCCTGGGCTCTAGACGGGAGAAGGGACAGGTGGCTAGGCACAGGGCAGAGGGAGTGGCACCTGCTTGGCGGCAGTTTCGATGCACTTGTCCCACTGCCCCTGCTCCACGTACAAGTCCAACGCAGCCACCACGTCTACACCCACCAGCTGCGGTCCATGGGAGAGAGGGTGTTATGCAGGCAGATGACAGGGATGGGCAGAGCCTCATGGGCTTCCTTGCACTCGGCTCTGGCCCCTCCTCAAGCCTCACCGAGTCCACCTTGCCCTGGTCCTTGAGGAACTCTTTGTAACGCTGGTCCACGTAGTCTTCGTACCTGTGGAGACACATGGCTCCACCCCGTTTGTACGTCTCCCAGCCTTCACCTAGACAGCAGCGTGGCCTGGTGTGTGGCCATGAGCTTACCGGGGGTCCAGCTCCTTGGCCACACGCTTGGCCTTGTTCCACTCCTCGCCCTCGATGAATGCGTCGACGGCCTCCTTGACCAGGTCCAGGTTCAGGTAGAGCTCTGCGGCCTGCACGCAGGAATCAGAGTGGAGACCCTCTCTGCCCTTGGGTCCCGTCTCCCCTCTGTGAGCCCCACAGCCCCTCCTGGGTATGATGTCACCCTGCACCGTCTCCGTGGGCCTACTTCTTTCAAGGTGCAGCACCCTACTTACTGCACTGTGCTTTCCAATCCCAATCAGCTGGGGTCCCACAGTCCGAACCACTTCCAGACTGCGCTGAGGAGGCAGAAACTTGATGGAGAGTTCAGCTGCCTGAGGGGGTGGACAGAAGACAGGAGAGGGTGGGAGATAAATACTGCTGGGTCCTCAGTTCGTTCTGTTCCTTTTTTCTTTTTTGAGTTGGAGTCTCACTCTATTGCCCAGGCTGGAGGGCAGTGGCACGCTCATGGCCACCCCAGCCTTGACCTGCTGGGTACAGGCTATCCTTCCACCTCAGCCTTCCAAGTAGCCGGAACTACAGGTGTGCACTACCACACCTGGCTAATTTTTGGATTTACTGTAGAGACAGGACTTGCCAAGTTGCCCAGGCTGGTCTCGAACCCCACATCCCAAAGTGCTGGGATGACAGGTGTGTGCACCGTGCCCAACTTAGGAATCTTCAGCTACGTGTGGCTTACATGTGTGGTCTGCATTCTATTTTTGGTGAGTGGTGCTGGTGTATATGGTCCTGATGATGCCTTTCAACCCTTAAAGCCCTCACGTTCTACAACCCGAGAGTTCTGTGAGACGCAAGTTTCCTCAGTGATGCTGACATCCTCACCACATTTTTTTTTTTTTTTGAGTTGGAGTCTCACTGTCGCCCAGACTAAAGTGCAGTGGCCACTTCTGGCCACCACAGCTTCAACCTGCTGGGCTCCAGCGATCCTGCTGCCTCAGCCTTCTAAGTAGCTGGAACTACAGGCGCGTGCTACCATGCCTGGCTAATTTTTTGATTTGTTGTAGAGATAAGGTCTCGCCAAGTTGCCCAGGCGGGTCTCGAACCTACGGGCTCAGGCAATCCACTCACCTCAGCCTCCCAAAGGCGCGGGATTACAGGCTGAGCCACCGAGCCCAGCTCCTTACCACATTTTAACTTAGCTACAGTTGATGCTGATCCCTGCCTCTCCCTCACCTATTCTTCCTCCCTTCCTTTACCCACAAAGCCCTTCAAAGCCTTAAAGCCCCCTCCCCACCCTCAGAGCCGTCCTCTGTCGGAATGGAAGGTTCAGCCATGCACAGACCCTGAGGACGGGGCCCGAGTCACGTGCGCCAGAACCTCAGAGCCTGTCTCAGCCCCTTCTGCTCCTTCTCACTAATGCCTGGGGCTCTTCCATGACAAGACCTCGGAAACCCAAGGGCCACTGGCAGGGGCATCCTCACAGCAACATTTATTTTTTTCCCTTTTGAATTGGCGTCACCCTCTGTCACCCAGGCTGGATGTAGTTGCACAATCACGGCTCATTACAGGTTCAACCTCCCAGGGTCAAGTGATCTTCCCACCTCAGCCTCCCAAGTAGCTGGGACTACAGGTGCGGTGCATGCCATCACGCATGGTTAATTTTTTATTTTTTTTTTGTAGAGATGATGTCTTGCTACATTGCTTAGGCTGGTCTCTAACTCCAGGGCTCACGCAACCCTTCCACCTTGGCCCCCAAAGTGCTGGGATTATGGGCATGAGCCACCGAACCCAGCCTACACCAACATTTCATTTGGAGGACCAATCTCACCCTGTTATGACTCCCAATGCCAGATTTCACTGTATTGAAGGTGCATCGCTGAAACTAGATGCGCATCTGATTTCAAAGATCTTATTCTGGGTCTTCCCTCCCTCTCGCCTGAAGTCCCTGACCCCTCCAGATCCACAGACCACACCCTCCTCTGAAACCTTCTTTGAACCACATACTTTGCCTCTGCTGAGACAATATCGAGGAACTGAGCCACGTACAGGTCTCACTTCCCTAACTCTCAGTCGTCAGGGTCCTGTCTTACGTCCCCTTTTGCAGACTTGACAGCTCTGGCTCTGGCATCCAGTGGGAACCCAGCAAATACCCACCTACTCGACTGAAAGCTGAGACGGAAGATAGAGCGTGAACGGAGGCCTGGGCACGAGCAGGGCAGGGCCGCAGCGCTCACCTTCAGCCAGCACTTTTCCGCCAGGCTGCTGCTTCCGGGGTCCCGCACGCGGAGGTAGCAGTCGACGGCCCGGCTGTACTCCCCAGCCTGCTCCCAGTGCCGTGCTTGCTCCACGACGCCCTCGGGGCCCCTGTGGAGAGGCGAGCTTGGTGCAGCCTGTGTGCACCTCCCGACCCCCCAGGCTGCCGGGACCCCACCTCGCACCTGGCCCCCTTCTTGGCAGCTTCCCGCTCGTATTCTTCCTGCAGGGCCTCCAGCTGGCCAGGCATGTAGTCCTTGCAGATACGCAGGGCGTCGCTCCACAATCCAGCCTCCTGCCCAGATTCCCGTGTCAGCAGGTCAGAGGCAGCACAGCGGCCAACCGCACACAGGTGCTGGGTTCTCGGACCACTCTTCTCCTGCCTCTCCCCACTTCCCTTCCTTCCTCAGTGCCAGAGTGTGCGTGGCTCCCAGGACTCTATTCCACTCACCCTCCCCGCAGCCCTGAATGCAGCACCCACCTTGTAGTAGTTGAGGGCCAGGCCTGGCCTCTGGGCCCGAAGCAGCAGCCCTTCCGCCTTCTGGAAGTCCTTCTCCTCCAAGGCCCCCCGGGCCTGCCCCACAAGCACCTCAGCCACACTGTCGGGGTCATGGGCCTCGGCCACACGCTGCGCTGCCTCCCAGTCCTGGTTATGGACAAACCTGCCCCCGATGGGACACAGGAGAGACCAAGTATAGGATGGGGACCCCGGCAGTGAGAGGCGACAGCCATGTTGGAGGGGTGACACGACTGGCAGTAGCTTTCCATAAAGGTGAAAGTGGCCACAAGGGGCCCTGGGGCTGTGCCTGGGAAGGGAAGGGATAGCGGGAAGGGATGGATGGGGAGACTCACATGAGGACTGCTTCCTTGGGTTTACCGGCCCTAATGAATTCAGCTTCAGCCTCTTCAAATTTACCCTTGGGAGAGAAAGGAAGTCAGGCAGGAAGAGGGGACGTGGCACCATGGGCAGTCAGAGGCAAGAGGCCTGAACACCTGGCACAGTGGCCCATCCTCACCTCATCCTCCAAGTACATGGCGTATCTGAGATGGATCTCGGGGGTCTTGTGTTTGAGGGCCAGCCGGGTGAGCTCAAAAGCAAATTCAAAGGAGCTGAAACGGGAGGAGGGTGGGCCTGCCTACTTAGTGCTTCTCCTTATGAGAGGAAAAGAGAAACGAGGCAGGGGTAACAAAGGGCCGGGACGAAGGGAAAAGTGGCCATGGCAGACTCAGAAGAGACACCAAATAACGAGAGCCGCGGGAGGGAAGATGGGGGGCCACGTTCCCAGCATCACAGCCATGGGACGCCCAGAAAAGCCTGTTTTCCCGAGGCCAGCTGGCCGTGAGGAAGGAGAGAGCAAAGCAGGCCTCACCGCCCCGCGCTGAGGAGGCAAGGAGGCTGGCGCACCCTCTTCCGGGTCCCACGACACCGGCAGAGACCTGTGTCTCCATGGAGGTGCTCGGCACAACTGCTGGTGCATAGCACGCACTCAAGAAAAGCCCACTATGGGCAACCGCTTCGGGTCCCCTCCCACTGTGGGAGCTTTCCTGTCCTCTCAATAAATCCTGCTTTCAAAAAAAAAGCCCACTCTGCATATGACAGAACCACACTTCATCACCCAGAAGTGAGCTACGGTGCCAAACAGTCCTGGCTCCCTTTCCCGCCTTCTTGAAACAGCCAAGGACTATACCCTGCTCTGAGCCTCTGGAACAGGAGTGCAATTTTGCACTTGCTCTGGCCATGCTAGGTGCCTCCGGGGTCTCTCCTTACCACGGTTCTATACTTTTGCCTCAGCTTCTGAAACATGTTTCAGTTACACACGGATTTTCTCTCTAGGCCAGGGCTCAGGTGGGGTGGGCCCGGGCTGGATGGCCCTGGAGGGAGGCGTGGCGCCTCACCAGTTGTCTGCTGCATGGTCCACAGCAGCTTCCAGGAGTCCCAGCTTGTTCAGCAGTCGGACTGCAGCCTCTCCACCCAGGCTCTTTGCCCACAGATAGGCCACGTGTCTGTGGGCGTTAGCTCCTCCGAGCGCCTTGGCCACCTGTAAGGCAAGGCACTCAACCAGCTTCGAGCAGAGTTGTTCCTTCTCATCTCCCACATCCTAACCTCAGTTTTGACACGGATCTGGTAATGACTCCAAGGTAACAGGAGGCAGCCTCAATCGCAGGTTTTTTGTTTTTTTTGTGTGTCCAAGTCTCACTCTGTCACCTAGGCCGGAGTGCAGTGGCATGCTCACAGCCACCTCAGCCTCGACCTATTGGGCTCAGGTGATCCTTCTGCCTCAGCTTTCCAAGTAGCTGGAACCACAGGCACATGGCACCACACCCAGCTAATTTTTTGATTTATTGTAAAGATGAGGTCTTGCCCAGTTGCCTAGGCTGCTCTCGAATCCCTGGACTCAAGCCTCCCAAAGTGCTGGAATGACAGGTGTGAGCCACCACACCTGGTCAATTTTAGGCTCTCTCAGCTTAGGTTGGAGTGCTTAGGGTCCAGGGATGGGCTTCAGTAGCCCCAGACCTTAAAATTACAAGTGAAATTGTGTGGAGACAGACGTGGACATACATCTGGTTTTCATTACATTTTCAAAGCTGCTCTGACCAGCTGAGAATTCGCCCTGGAGAGTGGGAGAGGGATGGACGCAGCCCTGGCGTGGCCTGGACACTTACCCGGTAGGCCTCTTCCCAGAGCCCACTGGAACGGTACATGTTCACTGTTGCCTTCCACTCCTGGGCCTCAAGGTAGTGGTACTCGGCCTCCTGTAGTCGGCCTTCAGCTTCCAGCTCCTACAGGAAGGTGGGTCAGGATGGAAAGAAAGGTAGGCAGGAGCTTGGCCGTGGGAAGACGGCAGGGCCAGGAGGAGGGCTCACCTTGCCCAGATGCAAGTGCGTGTCGCTCAGGAGATCCGGGTGGTGCTTTGCCACCAGGCGGATCATGTCATCATATAGCTTGTGCTTTTTGAACATGGTGATGGCGAGGTCAGGCTCTTCCACCGTCACATACAGCCTGGAGATGGGGGAGATGCGGGCCTGCTAGACCCGGCCCCTGCTGCGGCCACCTTCTGGGCGAGGGTACAGGCCCTCAGGCCCCACCCTGCCTCCACCCCCCCCCGCGGCCGCAGCTCACCTCTCCGCCTCCCGGAACTTGCCCTGCTTCTCCATCTCCTGGGCCTGGGTGATGTACAGCACTGACACATCTTCCGGCCTCATGCACTTCAATGCCAGCTGTGGAGACACACAGAGCCAGGGCAGCCATGGATGCAGTGCCCGAGGGAGGCGCAGGGCACGAGGGAACTTGTTTGCTCAGACTCCCAGCTCTCCCTGCAACCATGAGCTTGGTTGCCGCCTCATGCCTAGTCAGTTGGGAGATGCAAGTCCACTAGGAGCAGAGAAGGATGACACTGTACGAAGGTGGAAGGGTCTGTGATGCCCTGCACTTCCACTGTGCCACTGGACTCCACAGTGCAGGGGCTGGCAGTCGCCCACATAAGCAGCGGCTTCAGGGATGGCAGCCCAGACATCCCTGCTCCCAGGCCCACTGCTGCTGTAGAACTGCAGGTTTGGGAAAAGGGCCTCTCCTTATCACGTCCGTTCCCTGTGGTAGGGGACCCAAGCGGCCCTGACTGGAGACCAGGAATGAGGCGACAGTCTGCCATGGCAGGGTTCTCCTCCCGGGACTCTGCCATGTGCTACCTTGTGGGCTTGCTCCCAGCGGCCTGCCTGGGTGTACATGTCTATGGCATCTTTGGTCCGGTCTCCCTTTGTATAGAGCTCCTCAGCAATCTGCAGTTGACGAGAGGCAGACAAAAAAGGTTAGGGCAACAGAATCCAAGCAGCTTGTAGGAGAAAAGAACACCCCTTAGCAGTGAGAGTGGGAGCCCAGGACACCACCTTATAGTAACAGAGAACAGCAAGCCCAAGACACTGCCTTACGTAACAGGGAAGAGAGACTGGAACACCACCTAAAAGTAACAGAAGAGAGAGGCCAGGACACCACCTCATAGTGACAGAGATGAGAGTGAGCCCGGGACACCACCTCACAGCAAATAACAAAACAAAAGATAAGTGTGGGTGTCTCGTACCATCTACTGCTTAACCAGACCAGCCTGAAAGAGTATGAGGACAATACAAAGGAATTCACGAGTTCTCCACGTTTTTTGCAACGCAAGGCACTTCTACACTGAAACTGCACTGGAGCGTCAAGGACAAATCACTTGCTCTTGCTGGTGCAGGAAGAGAGCTAGGAACTCTTTCTATCGATCTGGTGGAGGAGGGGGAGATGTCTGTGTCATGGCGGCATGAAGCCAGGAAAGTAAGCCGCTGTCTTCCTGTTCACAGTGGTGGTGGTTTGGACCCCAGAAAGGAGGCTCTGGTGCACTGGCCTCCACCTCTGTGAGGGTTCTCGCCTTGTCATCCTGTGCTACACTGTCTCCTGCTGCTGACGGGGCGCTTCCTCACCTCATACTCCTGCAGGGACGCATAGTGCTGGGCCACGCGAGGATAGTATCTGGACGCAGTGTTCCGGTCCTGGAGATCCAATATGTAAATTGCCTTCTTCCACTGGCGGGCCCCCAGGGCAGCCTCAATCGCCTTAATGGAGCACCTGGCAAAGTTGGGAAGATGCAAATATGAATGAGGGAGAGGAGGCTGAATGGGGGCGAAGAGACCCCGTGAGCAACTCCAACCCGTTCTGAGATCCCTTCCTGCAGGCCCTGCCTCACTACCTCTCCCTCCAAGCCTAGTCTCCTCTCCACCCCCATCCCATCACACCTGGCCTCAATGTAGTGATTGATGGCTGCATCCAGCTGCTTCTGCTGCACCAGGTGGTCTCCCCAGGCCTCCTCCAGTCTCACCACCTCCATGGGGAAGGCCAGTCGGGCCAGTTCTACGGCTGCCAGGGGAGAGGAGGTGCTCAGCTCAGACGCCCAGGGTGGGACTCAAGAGGTAAAGTGTGAGGATGGGTGAGAAGGAGAGGAAGGGAGGAGCACTGAGCCAAGCAGCCCAAGCAGATGCAACCAGAGGTGCTGGGGACCGGGCAGGCAGGGTCCACAGCACATAGACAATGAGCCAGGGCGGCCTCAGGAGCCCAATGGCTAGAGGAGGCGGTTACCTTTCAGGAACGCATTGCCTTTACAGTAGCACTCGAGTGCCCGCTGAGGATTGCGAATCTTCTCAAAGAGATCCCCTGCCTGGGAACACACGCTACATAACTACAGTGACCTCCTACCACACCAGAATCCAGGACCCGCTCCCAAAAGAAGGGATTGCCAGCAGTGGGGGGGCCCACGCACCCCACGACTCCTCTGGATGGGAGGGGTCCTGAGCCTGGAGAGGAGGGCCAAGCAAAGGAAGGCGGCTGTACCCTTTCGTAGAGCTCGCCCTTGACAAGGGCTGCCGTGATGTGCTCCACCAGTTCCGTGTTGGCCAGCAGCTCCTCCCGGGTCAGCACCAGCCGAGCTGCTTTGGCAGGGAGCCCGGCCTTGAGGTAGAGGCTGACAGCTGCCAGCCCATCCCCCTGGCTCTCCTGCAGCTCTCCTGCTCGCTCCTCCTGCTGTGTGTCCATCAGCCACTGGTAGTATTCGCGGCGAAGCTTCTCCAGGGTTGGGTGCCCCTGGACACGCAGAGGACTGGAAGTCAGATCACACCCCCAGGCCTCCTGCTCCATGGGCTTCTCCGGTCCCCCATGACAACCCAGATCTGAACTCCTCACCACATCGGCTCCCAGTCCCCACCCTGCTCTGGCCTCCTAGAAGCTGAGGGAAGCAAGTTCTGAATGACTTTGACGACAGAACGGGCACCTTGGCCTCAGCGACGGCGATGCACTCATCCCAGCGGTGCAGCTCCTGGTACATGTCCATGGCCTCCTCCACTGCATTCTGGGGAGCCAGACAGGGGAGAGAAGCAGCAGGAAGATGGAGGTCAGGAGGTCGCACACTCTCCTCAACCTGGCTCCTAAAAGGTCTGAGCCCCAGCCTCCACTCCCTGTGCCCATGGAGGCGCTCTGGAGGGAAGTGCAACGACACCCAATTGCAGGGCTCCTTGTCTGCATGGGCCCGTCCAAAGCAGCGGTTTTTTTGTTTGTTTGTTTTGAGTTGGAATCTCACTCTGTCACCCAGACTGGAGTGCAGTGGCCGCTCCTGGCCACTGCAGCCTTGACCTGCTGGGCTCAGGCGATCCTTCCGCCTCAGCCTTCCAAGTAGCTGGAACTACAGGTGCGCGCTACCACGCCCGGCTAACTCTATGACTTATTGTAGAGATGAGGTCTTGACAAGTTGCCCAGGTGGGTCTTGAACCCGCGGGCTCAGGCAATCCACACACCTCAGCCTCTCAAAGCACAGGATTACAGGCTGAGTCACCGAGCCCGGCTAGCAGCGGTCTTAAAAAGGCCTCCTGAGACTGCATAAACCTCAGGCCCACAAAAGCTGGGTCCATCCCACACATCAGAAGCACAAAGACAGGCTCTGCACTCGAAGGGGGACAGGAGAGAGTTTATGAAAGAAAGAGGTGACTAAGGCCGGCGGAGGAAGTGTGTCTAGATAGAGGACGGACTATCACAGGAGAAGGAAATTCAAGAAAGAGTGCAATTAGCCACAAACACTCTCTAAAAGTGCTCCCCAGACCTCTGGAAGCTAGCTGGCCAGTGCACTCTCCTCCTTTGGGTCTGCCTCCCCTTCTTCTTGCCCTCAGATCCCCTCTTCCACCAGTCCTCTTCGTCCTTGTTACCTGTTCCAAAAAGATCATTTCAGCCAGTTTGTAGTTCTTCTCCAGCATGGCGAGACGCGCTCGGACCTGATAAAAGTCAGCTCCTTCTCCACCCTGTGGGGAGGGGGAGAGTCTGGGGATTCCATAGGGCGACAGGAGCCATCCTGTCTGTGTGGCTGGGGAAGGAAGGTCTGAAGGATGTGGAAGCCAAGAGACTTGGGAAGTGCAACATCTTAGTGCAGCTTAGAGGCTTAAGCGTTTGCAAGCAATTCTAAGATGGTCCGCGCCTGGAGGGTAGAGGTAGGGTGGGCAGAAAGGAGGAAACTAGGGATTGCCAGAAAGCTACGAGCCATGAGGCTGAAGGCTAAGAGAAACCTCAATGGGAGACGGGATGAAACAGGAGCGTAATACTTACATATTCCTGGGACACTTGATCTGCAATCTCGTTGGTCTTATGCAGGAATTGAGCTTTTGCCACATGGCCCAAAGCAGAAAAGCACCTAGAGCATGAAAGCAGTGATGTTAACAGTGACGTGATTACAGGATCATCACCGGTTCACGGGTTCAGCACATCTACACGGGGCACCCATCATGTGCCAGGCACTGTCCTCGTCTGGAGACACACGGGTGAAAGGGAAGATGATGACCTTGCTCTCAGGGAACTTCCATTCCACTGGAGACAAATGATTCATACATAAACACGTGGAGATAATCTGAGACAATGAAAAACAACATAGAGTGACATCAGAGGGCCTGAGGGGTGACTGAAATGGCTATTGGGAGATTTCTCTGATGAGCTGACATTGACACTGAAAGCTAGCATGGAAAAAGGCCAGTCATGGTAAGTTGGGGAAAGTCAGTCCAGACGGAGGGCACAGTGCGTGTGAAGGCTCCCACGGGAATGAGCTGGCAGCTCACAGTGCCAAAAGGCAGTTATTGTGGCTGGAGAGTGGCCGGCAAGTAGGTGATGGCACGAGACAGAACAGAGGCCAAACAGCTGCAGGGCCTTAGGCCACGGCAAGGAGTTTGGAGTTTATACTAAGCACAAGGTAGCTATTAAAGGTTCTGATCGGCCGGGCTCGGTGGCTCAGCCTGTCATCCCAGCACTTTGGGAGGCTGAGGCGAGTGGATTTCCTGAGCTTGTGGGTTTGAGACCAGCCTGGGCAACTTGGTGAGACCTCATCTCTACATTAAATCAAAAAAATTAGCCAGGCGTGGTAGCGCACGTCTGTAATTCTGGCTACTCGGAAGGTTGAGGCGGAAGGATCACCGGAGCCCAGCAGGTCGACCGGGAGTGGCCACTGCACTCCAGTCTGGGTGACAGAGTGAGACGCCAACTCAAAAAAAAAAAAGAACCTCAAGTCGGGCCCGGTGGCTCAGCCTGTAATCCCGCGCCTTTGGGAGGCTGAGGTGAGTGGATTGCCTGAGCCCACGGGTTCGAGACCCGCCTTGGAAACTTGGCGAGACCTCATCTCTACAATAAATGAAAAAATTAGCCGGGCGTGGGAGCGCGTGCCTATAGTTCCAGCTACTTGGAAGGCTGAGGTGGAAGGATCGCCGGAGCCCAGCAGGTCAAGGCTGCGGTGGCCGGGAGCAGCCACTGCACTCCAGTCTGGTCGACAGAGTGAGACTCCAACTCAAAAAAAAGGAAAAAAAAAACCTGAGCTGCTCTGGAATGAACAGATCATAGGGGTACAAAAATAGTATCAGTGAGCCTAACCCAAAGGCTTTGCAACACTGCGGGTGGAGATGGCGGTGGTCTATACCAGGCAGAGACAGCTAAGCTGGACGAAATATTCGATTCTGGATGTGATTCCACGACAGTCCTCAGGACTTGCTAATCTACGTGTGGGAGGAATGGAAAGCCGAGATCAAGAATGGCTGCTAGCCAGAACGGCAGCAGATGACATTCACTGAGCACTTACAACGGCATAAGCTCTTTGCAGATTCTCTCATTTGTTCTTCACTGTCACTACCATTACTATTCTTTACCACCCTACAAGGTAAATACTCTTATTATCCCCATTTTACTCAGAGAAGAATCGAGAAGCCAAGGTTTGGAAAGGACAAAAATGACCTTTCTAAGATCACAAAGTTGGTAACTGGAACCAAGATCTGAACTGAAGGAATATGGAGTCCTCAGTTTGTCTATTAGCGACATCCTCCCTTTTTTCTCTGAGTTGGAGTCTCACTCCATCGCCCAGGCTGGAGTGCAGTGGCACTCACGGCCAGCCCAGTGTTGACCTGTTGAGCACTGGCGATCCTTCAGTCTCAGCCTTCCAAGTAGTCAAAACTACAGATGTACACTACCACACCCAGCTGATTTTTATTTATTTATTGTAGAGACAAGGTCTCGCCAAGTCGCCTGGGTGGGTCTCGAACCCACAGACTCAGGCAAGTCACTTGCCTCGACCTCCCAAAGTGCTGCAAAGACAGGCTGAACCACCGAGCCCAGCCAGTGACATTCCTATAGCAGACCTGCATTGTGTACAACAATGCATGGACAAGAGGGTATGAATGTTAAGAAACGGGTGCAGTGGCTCACAACTGCAATCCTATCTCTCTGGGAGGCCAAAACAGGAGGAACACTTGAACCCAGTTCAAAACCAGCCTGGACAATATAGTGAGACCATATCTCTACAAAAATAAAAATTAAAAAAAAATCGCCAGGTGTAGTGGTGTGCACTGTAGTCCCAGCTACTCAGGAGGCTAAGGGGAAAGGACTGCCTGAGCCTAGGAGGCCAAGGCTGTAGTGAGCCGTGATTGTACAGCTGCACTTCAGCCAGGGTGACCCAAAAGGGGCACCTAGTTATAAGGAGGGGAAACAAAAATAGCACAAGACCTCATCTTACAACCTGGGACGGGAGGTGTCTGGATGCAGCATGTGGAAGGGCTCTCTGCCGTGTGCAACAGAGGGAAGGAGGCTGGGCCCCAGGACGGGACAGGAGCAACCCCAGGCAAACGCTCACGGGGCCGACCCTGGCCGCTGCCCGGAGCCTCGTCTTACATGTCCACCTCACCTCTCAGCAATGTGCAGCTGCCTTGCCTCTAGTGCCAGTTTACTCAAGATCCTCCACATTGCCTCCGTCTCTGGGGTCATTTCCAGAGTCTCCAGGAAGGCCGTTGCCCTGGAGAGGGAAGCAGGCCAAGCACAAGTAACACATGCAGGTCAGGGGAAAATAGGGGCAGGGGCAGGGCAGGGGCCTGATAATCTAGCCTCCTCCCTGGAGGCCAGGGTCGGTTTACAATCCACCCAGGTCTTCCCCTCAGAACCAGACTCTCCTGCCATCTTGTTGGTAGTCACCAGCCTCTCACCGGGTGTAGTTGCCATCGTCAATGGCCGTTCCAAACTCGATGAGGTCCTCATCCAGTGTGTAGGCCACAGTAGTCACGCCTTCCGTCACCATCACCTCAGTCTTTCCCCCGCCCCGCTCCAGACCGACAACTTTACCCTGCAAAGAGTTCATGCCCCCACCACATCCAAAGTCCAGGTTACAGTTTCCACTGAATCAAGTGCAAAGCAGACCCACCCTCACCAACTCTGGTGCTCAGAAATTGGAGTGGTCCTTATTCTTCTAGCACTTCAGTTTCTCTCAAGCAGATAAAAAAGTTTTACTTATCACAATATCCTTGGATTAATGTATCCTTGGATTAATGTATCCTCATAGCTATGACAGCCCCAATTCCTGGAAGTACAAAGTACATCCACTTCTGCTCCCGGTAGTACCACAGATTCGGTTTTTTTGTTTTTTAAAAAGCAGGATTTATTGAGAGGACAGAAATGCTCCCACAGTGGGAGGGAACCCGAGGGGATTGCCCCAGACTAGGTATTCTTAAGAGTCCTCTTGTCAAAATACACAAGAACTTGGAATAGACTTTTTAATGCATTGCTGGGCTTATTTGAAGAAACTACTAAGAATGCTCCTCCCCCATCCTGTTCCTCCCCTCAAAACAAAGACAGAAATAAAAAGATCAGTAAGCTAAAAAGCTGAGAGGAAAAGCAGGAAAGGAAAGTGAGTTAACGGGAAGGCAAACACAGAATAAGCCTTGGGTCCTTCAGCAGGGCGAGGTTAAGCCTGAGACCCTCACTAGACTCAGGGCCCACTAACTCTGCAGCAAAGGGAGCGAGAGCAATCAACAAGATCACTAACACGCCTCATTCCAGCAGGAGCAAACGAGAGCCATCTCGAGAGGAAAACATGTCCATTTCAGGCCCTTAGGACTCCAAAGGATTAAAAGGAGTAAAATGAGTTCACAATTTTAAAAAAATCAAAGTACAAGGGAAGAAGCTACTGTGAAAGAATAAATAGTAACTATCACAACCTTCAAGAATTTCAGATATTAAAATAAGTTACGGCTGGGCTCGGTGGCTCAGCCTATAATCCTGCGCTTTGGGAGGCTGAGGTGAGTGAATTGCCTGAGCCTGCGGGTTCGAGACCCGCCTGGGCAACTTGGCGAAACCTCATCTCTACAATAAATAAAAATATCAGCTGGGCGTGGTAGCGCGTGCCTGTAATTCCGGCTACTCGGAAGGCTAAGGCGGAAGGATTGCCGGAGCCCAGCAGGTCGAGGCTGCGGTGGCCAGGAGCAGCCACTGCACTCCAGTATGGGCCACAGAGTGAGACTCCGACTCAAAAAAAATAAAATAAAATAAGTTACAGAATAGATGCACTTAAAGATCTAAAAGATAAAATGAAAAAATTAAGCAAGGAACAAGAAACTAGAAATATGGGTAGGCAGATTGCAGAAAGAATCAAATAAAACTTTAAGAAAAATTTAACTTGTGAAGGAAAAACTACTCAAGGGATGGCTTAAATAGCAGCTTAGACAATGATAAAAAGCAAATTAATAAGTTGAAAGACTGATGGGAAGACATGATCCAGCCAGGCAGATCTGAGATCATGCCTGCAATCCCAGCACTCTGGGAGACAGAGGTGAGAGGACTGCCTGACCCCATGGGTTTGAGATCAGCCTAGGCAACTTGGCAAGACCTCATCTCTACAAAACTCAAAAAATTAGCTGGATGTGGTGGCATGTGCCTGTAGTTCCAGCTACTTGGAAGAATGAGGTGGCAGGATCGCCTAAGCCCAGCAGATCGAGGCTGCAGTAGCTGTGAATGTGCCCCTGCCCTCCAGCCTGGGCAACAGAGTGAGACTTCGACTTAAAAAATAAAAATAAAAAAAAAAATTCCAAAAAACAAAACTGTATCTAGACACATTGGAGTGAAACTTCAAAACATCCAAGAAAAAGAGAAGATTTGTAAAGCAACCAGAAAGAAAAGACAGAAAGGGCGGCTGATAAACTCAGAACAATAATGAAAGTCAATCGATGGGACCTTTCCAAAAGGTTAAGAAAAATTAGCTATCAATCTAGAACTGGGTACTGAGTCCAAGTAACTTTTCAGAACAAAGTTCTGAAATATTTCAGATAACCAGATATTTTCAGACAATCAAAAAATAATATCCTACAGGAAGAAAAGTAATTTCAGAGAGAAGACCGGCACTCCAAGAACAAAAAGTGAACAAAGAAACTGGCACCATGATGGTACACTTAAGTGTTCTGTCATGGCTAACTTTCAGGATAAAAAAAGATTGGAACTAAAATACTGGATAACCATGGCAAAGGGGAGGTGATCAAAGTTAAAGCCTTCTGAGGTCCTTGTACTGTATGCAAGGGAGAGGGGTCTCAATGCTGATTAACTTTAGACTTCGCTAACTTAAGTATACATTAAACTTTGAAGGATAATCTCTACAGAAAAAGGATGCATAACCTCCAAACCAAAAGAGTAAAAAAGGGGTATTTAAGAAAAGGACAAAACAACAAGTTTTAGACCTCAGTCAGTCTCTAATAAGGCAAGGAAGGAGTTATGAGGAGGTACGGGAAAGGACAAAAGGAACGCATGAAGTGTCCTGTCCACACCCATATCGGTCATCCTAGCCTAGCACAGGGACCTGCCTCTCTTCTCACTATTCACAGGTTCCTCCCAGATTCTGGAAGGTTACTGGGTGTGTATAATGTTGTGGTGGGATAGGAGAGAGGGTCTGATCTGCAATCTAAGCAAAAAGGAACTCTGAATAGCTTTTAACAGAGACTCAGCACACAAGGAAATAAATTAGAACTGCCTTTCTAATTGGGTATCTCCCAACCTTTCCAAAAGGCCCCAGCCTAGCGGGAACTCCACGTTATGACCTGGTGGCTTCCTGGGGCCACAGTAATGGGTTCACACTCCAAAGGTCTCAAATAATATCATGGATCTGAATAAGGATTGCTCCAGGGGCTGGTCCACCCATCTAAGCTTCACTTGCCAACTCCATCACAGAGATTATGGGTAGTGGGCAGAAAATAACTGTCAGCATCTCTGCATAGCTCTAATTAGTCAGCTTGACACCACATCTGAGGGCCCTGGTATCAGCATACCCTAATAGAGGACATGGTGACCCCCTCAGGTGCCTCGATGTTGTACCACACACACAGGTTGTTTCGGTTCTGAGCCACCAGCACATCGCTTCCTGGGACCCACTGTGCAAAGGAGCAAAAGTAGAGGACCACTGTCTTGGAGCAGCTTTCGATATCGTACAGATGCAGCTGAAGAAGGAAGGGCAGAGAACACACTCAGAAGGGCTGTGGGACTCGTTCCTGGTTTTGATCATTTCCCTGAAGGCAACATATGGGGTGCTACCCCTCCCAGGCATGTGCTGAATTTCAAAGCTCACTAAACTGCTTTATGCTGAGTTGGTAAGTCCTCACTCTGATCAAATAAGGGAACAACAAAAAGCAAAGCGCTACATCCAGGAATTTAAGTTAGGTGAAGGTCAGGCTTTTATTCTTGGAGTAACTCTGGGCCAGAGGTACCAGTTTGGATTACAAAAGTAAGGTCACTAAAAAATAAAAGGAGGCCGGGCTTGGTGGCTCAGCTTGTAATCCCAGCACTTTGGGAGACCAAGGAGAGTGAACTGCCTGAGCCCATGGGTTCGAGACCAACCCGGGCAACTTAGCAAGACGACTTTTCAACAATAAATCAAAAATTAGTGGGGCGTGGTACTGTGTGTCTGTAGTTCCGGCTACTTGGACGGCTGAGGCAGAAGGATCGCCAGAGCCCAGCAGGTCAATGCTGGGATGGCCGTGAACATGCCATTGCACTCCAGCCTAGACAACAGAGTGAGAATCCAACTCAAAAAAAAAAAAAAAAATCACCAGATGGTCTCTTAAACAATGAGGTTGAACTTGTTGGTGCCACTGTATTGGGATGAGGGGCTGGGGGAGGCTGTCCTCCACCAGATGCAGTGCTGTCAGGTCAGTGGGGCTGAAGAGCCCTGGAGCAGCGGGATGGGAGAAAGTCAGCTGGGCACAAGGAGAAGGAACACAGGGCCAAGGGACTTCACTTGTGAACAGTAAGAGAGACCTCAACTCCCAAACTCCCCTCTTGACTTTGGGGCCAACACAATACAATCTCCTCAAGGGTAATTTAGGAGGGGTTGTGACATTGGCTACAGAGTCACAATCCCTGGTAGCAGCTTATCTCACCCCCTCTGTGGGCCAGCCAATGCCTAAAGCCCTAGGAACCCTTCTCACATGAAATTTCCGGTCTCTGAAGAGGAGCTTGTGTCCAGTCTCATTAAGTTCCAGCCAATCCACACGGTTCTCATGACTGATGGTACCAATGTTGTAGCCACCAACCAGATCCACTGCAGAACAAAACAGACAGGGTTAAGAGAGATACTCACGGGCATAGTCTGTAAAACCTGGTCTTACAACGATATGCTGGCCTTTAAGAATGCTGTACCAGTCTAGGGCTTCACAAGGGAATGCAAATGGCCAATACAGGTAATTTTGCTAGAATGTCTAAGAAGCTAAGTGTCTTTTAGAATTGTAGGGGTTTTAACTCTGTTGCTAACTCAAAAGATCCAGGCCCATCAAGAAACGTGATTCTTCTCTGGGACTCGTGTACCTGCCTCAGAGCAGACCAGAAGTACCGAGCAAGTGGCTTCTGTTGTACAACTCACAGAATCGTCTGGAAGGCAGCAATGAGCATAGTAAGGATGCACCTGGTATGGCATACCATGACAGAAAGCAGATGAGTGGACCGACCTTGGTGAGTGCCTAGGGTGCAAAAGCACTGAAGGGTGACCAGCACGGGAAGCACCAGATAAAACAGAAGCCTCTCAACAGAGTTAGGCTGGACAGCAGAGAGAAGGAATATCTTAGTTTGGTCTGAACCTTGCAAGCGATATAAGAAAAAGTCGGGCTCGGTGGCTCAGCCTGTAATCTCGCACCTTTGGGAGGCTGAGGTGAGTGGATTGCCTAAGCCCACGGGTTCGAGACCCACCTGGGCAACTTGGTGAGACCTCATCTCTACAATAAATAAAAAATTAGCCAGGTGTGGTAGCACACACCTGTAGTTCCAGCTACTTGGAAGGCTGAGGTGGAAGGATTGCTGGAGCCCAGCTACCTGGAAGGCTGCGGTGGCCGGGAGCGGCCACTGCACTCCAGTCTGGGCGACAGAGTAAGACTCCAACTCAAAAAAAAAAAAGAAACGACCACAGTCAGAGCAGACCACCCAGGGCTGGCTGGGAAGTCTCAGGTCAAAGCCCATTTACAACTTTTACTGATATACATTACTAATAAGCAACATGCCTGCCTTTGCTATGTATGCTTAAGCTAAAGACCAAATGCCAGCTAAATTGGGAAGACCAATTTAAAAAAAGAATTTGACTATTTTTTTTGAGTCGGAGTCTCACTCTGTCGCCCAGGGTGGAGTGCAGTGATACGCTCATAGTCACCCCAGCATCAACCAGCCAGGCTCCTGCGATCCTTCCACATCAGCCTTCCAAGTAGCCAGAACTAAAGGCATGCGCTACCATGCCCAGCTAATTTTTCAATATGTTGTAGAGACAAGGTCTCGCTAAGTTGCCCAGGCTGGCCTCAAACCCGCGGGCTCAGGCAATTCACTCGCCTAGGCCTCCCATAGTGCTGGAATTACAGGTTGAGCCACCGAGCCCAGCCTAATAAAAGAATGTTCAATTTGGATAAATTGTTGGAAGAGATGTGGAGGGATGAAATTGGGCAATGGACAAGGGGAGGGAAAGGATGACTCTGAGGCGGGTGGTGGGTATGTATGCCTTCATTTTCTTTTTTTTCCAACTTTATACATATTATACATGTGTATATATTACATAGGGTCTTTTGTTGGCATGTGTGTTTTATAATATATCATTAAAAATATAAACGACTATATTAAAATAAACCAAGACCAAAAGAATACATATTTGAAAAAATATGAGAGGAAAAAAATTGGCGCAATAGGAAAAAGAACCAAGCCGGGCTTGGTGGCTCAGCCTGTAATCTCAGCACTTTGGAAGGCTGAGGTGAGTGGATTACCTGAGCCCGCGGGTTCGAGACCCGCCTGGGCAACTTGGTGAGACCTCATCTCTACAATAAAATTAAAAATTAGCCGGGTGTGGTAGCACGCACCTATAGTTCCAGCTACTTGGGAGGCTGAGGCAGAAGGATCGCCGGAGCCCGGCAGGTTGTCACTCAGTCTGGGTGACAGAGTGAGACTCCAACTAAAAAAAAAAAAACAACAAAAAAAAAACAAGAAAAAGAACCAAAAGACAAAAACTTTTTAAAAACTGAAATATTAGCCAGGCTCAGTGGCTCAGCCTGTAATCCCGCACCTTAGGAGGCAAAGGTGAGTGGATTGCCTGAGTCCACGGGTTCGAGATCCGCCCGGGCAACTTGATGAGACCTCATTTCTACAATAAATAAAAAAATTAGCCGGGCGTGGTAGCACGCGCCTGTAGTTCCAGCTACTTGGAAGGCTAATATGGAAGGATTGCCGGAGCCCAACAGGTCGAGGCTGCGGTGACTAGGAGTGGCCACTGCACTCCAGTCTGGGCGACAGAGTGAGACTCCAACTCAAAAAAATAAAAAATAAAATAAAATAAAATAACTGAAATATTGCTGGGCTCGGTAGCTTAGCCTGTAATCCCGCGCTTTGGGAGGGCAAGGTGAGTGAACTGCCTGAGCCTGCGGGTTCGAGACCCACCTGGGCAACTTGGCAAGACCTCATCTCTACAATAAGTCAAAAAAGTAGCGGGGCATGGTAGCACACGCCTGTAGTTCAGCTACTTGGAAGGCTGAGACAGAAGGTATGCCTGAGCCCAGCAGGTCGAGGCTGCAGTGGCCAGGAGCGGCCACTGCACTCCAGTCTGGGCAACAGAGTGAGACTCCAATTCAAAAAAACAAAC